ACGCGACACATCCGACAAATAAGCTGAACAATAGTGTGGAGGGAATGAGTAATCGAGAGTTGCGTGGTGCTCAAACAAAAGACGAATCAACGAGATTTGAAAATCGCGTAACTCCGGGTTTGCGTAAGTCGAAGTATCACTGTACAGTAATACCCCGAACTTACGCGATAGGTGGGACTGAGAGATAACCTCGTAAGTCGGGGTTCGGGGTATAATTTTGCAATTTGTGTAAAATCCAAGTCGGATGTATGTAAGCTAATAAATGTTCTCGTTAATCTTATCTCGTCTTTTGATTCGTTCACGGTTACAAGAAATCACCACATAGAGTCGCTCGAGTCTCCGTAGATATAACAAACACAGAAATAAATAACACAAAATAAATTGTAGCTATGTGTCGATTCTACGCGACACATCCGACAAATAAGCTGAACAATAGTGTGGAGGGAATGAGTAATCGAGAGTTGCGTGGTGCTCAAACAAAAGACGAATCAACGAGATTTGAAAATCGCGTAACTCCGGGTTTGCGTAAGTCGAAGTATCACTGTACAGTAATACCCCGAACTTACGCGATAGGTGGGACTGAGAGATAACCTCGTAAGTCGGGGTTCGGGGTATAATTTTGCAATTTGTGTAAAATCCAAGTCGGATGTATGTAAGCTAATAAATGTTCTCGTTAATCTTATCTCGTCTTTTGATTCGTTCACGGTTACAAGAAATCACCACATAGAGTCGCTCGAGTCTCCGTAGATATAACAAACACAGAAATAAATAACACAAAATAAATTGTAGCTATGTGTCGATTCCGCNGGATTTTATTTAGTTACTTACCACGTGTTCCTTCTTACACCTGGTTCTTTTGGATCCCAAACTATGGTAAACGTATATTTTCAACACAGCCCGATATATTCTTTATATTTACAAAGGCGGGAGACACGTGTTCGCGACAATACAAGGTTTACTTTGAGAGATATCTCCGCAATATTACGACTAACTTAAAGTACCTTAACGTAACTTACATACTAAAGAAGAAGAGTGAAAAATAAGATATACGAAGGGATAAGACAAGTATAAAGAAAAGATTGATGGGGGTACCCGGGTAATTCGACAGTCTCCGATGTTCTCTATTTTGGATCTTGCGCTTAATTCCTTCCTGTACCGTTTCTTGAGAATTCAAGGTATTCTCGAAGCCCTCGATCTGGGTGTCCGTCTTATTTGTCCGTTTTCAGACGACTCCAAGTCTCTCCTTTGTCCCATTCGGCGACAAACTTCGACTTGTTCTTTTCTTCGTCTGCTCTTCTCGGACGCCGACCAGCAAAAATGTCTTTTTTTTTTCCTGACGTCCTCGGGACTTCTTAGTATCCCTTTGTTTTCTCCCTTCGTTCTTAGACAAAGGTTGTCCCCCACCCGTAGAGAAACAATAGGTTAGAAAGTTCTAGAAACTGACGTGAAAGACAAAAGATTTAAAAAAAATAAAACTTATATCTAACCCCTATGTACTGTACATAGACATGGCGTACCGCCACAAAACAACCTTAGTATTTCCAGCAACGAAGTATTTAATAAAAATAATAACGTTTTCGACTATTTTTAATAGTTTTCTTCGGTTAAGCCACTTTAAAACAAAAACAAACGTAAAATAGAATGCAAGCAATACAACGGTTTAAAAATTTGAAATTAATTACAACAAAATAAAAATCAAATAAAACTAAAAACAAAATTAAATTACAATAAAATATTAAGAAAATTAATCGTTGTGGTAAAGAATTAAATAAAATAAAGTATTAAGGAAATTAATTGTTGTGGTAAAAAGATTTCCATGCAAAGGATAGACTTTCTGCATCTTTATGGTTGATGCATCCTTTGTCAATATGGGCCTTGTAAATTTCAAGTTTTTCAATATGTTTAAGTACTTGTTTGTTGGTGGCAGTTCTAATTATGGATGCTTTGTCCCAATGTACGTTAATATCTTGATGTTTAGTGAAGGCTGCAAGGACGGTACTGTCCAAGTTTTTAGTAATGGAATACTTATGCTCTTTAAGCCTCTGTTTTAAAAGTCTCATAGTGGCACCAACGTAAACGAGATCTGAATTAAAATGGCAGTCACTTAAAGGAATAGAATACACTCCTGTAATATTGTTACAGTTTTCTTTCTTCTTATCATTTCGTAGAATTCTATGAATCGTAGGATTACGACAATAAATAATTCTTAAATTATTCTTGTGAGATAATTTTTTAATCGTCGAGTGTAGGAAAGGTATATAGTTGAGAACTACTCTTTGTCCTTGGTTCTTAGTTGTAGGTTGCTTATTTGTTTGATTACAATATTTAGCAATAAGAGCATTAATTTCACTTATATGATATCCCTGTTGTACAGCTATTGTACGTATGTAATTTAATTCTCTGTGTGTGTCAAACATACTCGTACAGTGGGTATACGCCCACTTTATCCATGATCGAAAGGCTGCATTCTTAAAATTTCGAGGATCAAAGAAATTCTTTGGTATAATAATAGGTAGATAGCTAGGCTTTCGATAAATATCTGTCCAAATTTCCGCATATTTAAGTGATTGACAGATCCAGAAAATTTACATTAATGTCACTTTTTTGTTCCATTGATAAAGTCAAACCATATGGGTTGTTATTAATTTTATTAAGGAAACATTGAGCGCTATTACTATTCCTCCAAACAATGAAAACATCATCAACATATCTTGCATATACAAGTATGTCGTTTATAAAGACGGTCAGTACATTACTTTTTAATTGTCATAATACTAGTTTACGTAATAACAGGGATATCGGGCTCCCCATTGGAACCCCTCTTTCTTGTAAATATGTGTTCCCTTCAAATACAAAAAACGAAGTATAACAAATTAGGTGTGCAAGCTCTAAAATGTGTTGGTGAAAACGTTATTATTTTTATAAAATACTTTGTTGCTGGAAATACTAAGGCATTTGATTATTTTAAGTATATGATGTAAGTTAATGGTAATGAACAATGACTATTAACAACATTATAAAAGTTTCATTCTATCTTGTGGCAACAGCCTTGATTCAGGCTCTGCACAAACATTTCATGTTACATTGCATAATGTGTGTATTGTTTTCTGTATGAAAGTCAAATTAAAGTTTGTGTGGGGATGCAGTAAACTTCTATGTTTGTAAAGTACTATATTATTTTTCCGACTTTCCAACGATTATCGACACTACTGTGTGCTGGAAATAGCCGTTCCCTAACGGGTACTTTACGCGGATTCGCGTTAGTGTGCCAGGCCTGGACTTTAAGCGTGCACCGAATTAAATAATGACAAAGTTTGTCAATAACAAAATCAAATATTTAATTAAACTTCTAGTAATAAACTATATACAGTATTTAGTAAAAATCAAACAATAATTTATTCAATGAAATTCAACAAGAATCAATCCGACAAACTCAAATCAATCTATTTCTAACTTAATTCTATTCCCCTTTGGAATTCGACAAAATCAAAGAATTAACTTATAAACAATAATTCTTATAAATTAAAGATCCTAATCGTCACCTCAATATACTAGGAACCTATTTCCTCAAACTCTCAAGACTTTCTATAATCGTCGATCCACAAATCGAATAACTTCAAAATCCTATCGGACACCTCTCTCGTTCACTGCTACGAAGCTCACCAAAGCTCGTTGCTATCAGGAATTCACCTCGTTCGTTTTCACTTGAGTTAGAGGCTTTATAGTGTGAGGTGACGTCACAATTCTGAATGAGCTCACTCTCCTCATTTACATACTTATCTGTAACATTAAATTTTTCTTGTTTATCTGGCAGATTATTTTCCGACAATACTTCGCTAACCTTTTACATTATTCTTTTTAACAATTATCGGGATGCTTTATTCTTTTAAGGTTTAGCGATTCCTAACTGGGTTGTGGGGTCTTCCCCCCCTTTTTCTCGGTGCGGACTTACTTTTTTCCGCTTGGGAAGCGCAAGTGTGCGCGAGTTTTTCTACGGCGCTTTTCTTTCGTCGGTGAGTTGGTTTTTCTTCTATTTTTAAGTTACTAAGGTGAATGGTGAGGAAACCTTCGTCTTAACTAAACATAAGCCCCAAACAAAATATAATGAAAGCAAAATAAGAGTAAAATAAAAATAAAGCTCAGACTTGGTTCCTTACATGTTTTTCCAAATAGGTTTTCAACCATTTAAAAAAATTTTTATTTTACATATTTTTCTAGAACTATGATTTTTAAGAATGCTTAAATAAATGTTATGTTTTCTTTTTAACTTAAGAACACAAATTAATTGAAGTGCTTGTAATTTTCTGTTGTATTTGTGTACAAAGTTAAGTTTAATATCAAAAGATAGTTACTAAAAGGCTATAAAAACTGGAACTGGCATAATAAATGACAAGGAGAAACCATACATTAAATTCCAACAGTATTTAATGTAAAAACACCTCTTTGACTTTTATAGGCTTACTTCAAGTCTTTTCAAGTAGATATTGTTGATATAAGTTAATATATGATTTATTTTTGTTGTTTATCAAAAGATAGTATTATTAAATAGTTTAATATAAAATAGCTTGGTACTAACACCAAATATGGTATAGCAGGATGGAAAGTTCACTGAGTTCAGTGTTATTACTAGTTTTCACCACACGCATAACATCGAAATACATTCCAAAATTAGTGGCTTGTTCTTAACTTTTATTAAAAATTTTAATATGAATAATGTGTGTTCTGTTCTCCTCAGAACATTTCTGTTTGATCTTTTAAAAAATCTTTATTCGCCTGACGACGGCAGATATAAGTCTGTCGAAAGCACCAGTGGTAAAAACTAGTAATAACGCCGAATTCAGTGAACTCCTTATCCTTCTATTCGTTTTATAAAAAAAGTAAAAAATTAGTCATTATACTGAATTTCTGATTGTTTAAAGTTAATGATAGTTTTAAAATAATAATACTAAGTCTTATATGTAACATATACATACATAATATATCTGAACATATCTTTTCAGGAACATGCTCAGTATGCAAAGCCAGAAGAATTATCTAAAGATGCAATTTTTGCATCTATGTATCACAGTCTAATTCATTCTCCAGCTCTTGAAACCATGTTAAATCTTGAACATTCTTATTCCTTGCAAATTGGAGAACTGATTCAGGAACGTGATACAGCATTATCAAAATTGCAGAAAAGGTATATTAAACAATTTATAGCTTTGGAAAATTTTTCAACTTATAATATTTTAAACCTTACTTGTAATTGATTAAATACTAAATTTCGACTTCAAAGTGTAAGAAAGAAATACTGATATATTGCCATTACTGTTAACAATTGGCTTTGTTTTATGGATTCAGTATTCTAATGTTCACAAGGTAATTCATCATATTCCTGTAATTAATTTCATTGTGTTAAAAAATATCTTTAATCATCTTGTAGTATTTAACTGGAAATATCTAAAATTACTTATGCTAAATTTTAAAATACTCACTAATTTAATTTTTTTTTATTAATGATACTAAGTAAATAGTCATTATTATTATTCTGTATGTATCCTTGTTGAAGTGAAAGAATTTTGTAGTTGAACTGAATTGTTGAGCTAAACTGATCAATTTATAAGCATCCAGTATAAGTATGCACTAATATCAGTAAAGTCATTGAGGAGAAATGAAGCTAAGGGTGATCCATATGAGTGTGTGACCCAGAGCAGCAGTCACCAACCGGTGTCCTTGGACCACTGATGATCTGCAAGAAAATTTTGGTGGTCTGTGGAGAAATTTGGACGTTGATCAACTGAAAGTTATGTGACATATTATGAAAGAAATACAAAGTGCTTAAGTGCTTGTGTGAATTTTCAAGGCTCGGGTTGACCCCGTCACATGTTTCTGATGATCGTTTTAGCCCATAAAATTGGTTAGATCTGGGAATTGGGACACTTAACACCACTTAGTTAATTATGCTGACTAAGATGCAAATGAAAAATTGAACTTTTCCACCGTACTGCTTTGGGTGAAGCAGTACGGTGATTTTGCATCATGTCAAAGATAAAACTTGCAGTATTATCAGATAGTGATTCATTCATCAAATAGCAAAACTGTTTAGCTGTTTGCTTATGTATTAAGATTTTACACACTATTTTCTTCCTCTCTTCATCATTTTCACTTTTAATATGCTGATTATGTTCTTCACAATAGTTACAAATATCAGTCTGAGGAGTGCCAAAACCTAGGTTGAAGTCTGTTGTGAAGACTTTATAATAAAAATGATAGTTGCACGTTTTAACTTCTTAGTTATTCTTATATGCCTCGAGAAACATTTTCCACATAACTCTAATGTTCAGTTCTGAGGATAAGAATTTTCTATGTGGGGTCTAAAAATAGAAAGTAAACATAATAGATGAAAATATTACAGTACCAATTAGTTTTAATACCTAAAAGAAGTATAAAGTATTTAAGAGAGATCTATACTACGTAGTACGATCCAAAAGTTCGGGGACTTGGCTTAAAATTTCTTACCTTAAAAAGTTTATATTGCCAATGCATAACCACCTTTAAAGTAATCACCTTGGGCAACGATACACTTTTGCCAGTGCTCGTATAACTTCTGGAAGCACTGCAGAAAGCCATTTTTTGAAACCTCCCATAAGGCCTCCTGCGATGCTGCTCTCACCTCATCTGATGACACAAAACAGCGTCCCTGAAAATGCTTTTTCATTGATGGAAATAAATAAAAATCACACGGGGCTAAGTCCGGTGAATAGGCGGGGTGTGGAAGCACATTAATTCGAGTTGTCATGCAGAAGGTACCAGTCTCCACTTTGCCAGATCTGTGGCCATTTACGATGAATGAATTCTCTCAAACGACATAAAATGTCTAAATAATGCTCCTTGTTTACTGTTCTGCCTTTGGGAATAAATTCTGAATGAACAATTCCTTCAGAATCAAAAAACACCTCCATCATGACTTTTCCTTTGCTTGGTGCATGTTCTGTTAAAATACGCTGGCAACTAGTCTTTGATAAGTGAATAGCCGCAGCAATTTTTTCAAGGGTTTGGCAACGATCTTTGCGAACACATTGAGAGACCAACTCAACATTTTTCTCGTTCTGTGAAGTCAAAGGTCGGCCAGAGCGTTCATTGTCTGCGATGGATTCTTGGCCCTCTTTAAAACGCTGATGCCATTTGTACACCTTTGATTTCGCCATGGTAAAATCACCGTACACCTTTCTTAGCAATTTTAAAGTCTCCGTAGGTGTTTTACCTAAACACTGACAAAATTTAATGTTGTAGCGCTGTTTTTAAAACTCCATTTTTATTACGTCACAAAACAAAGGTAACTATCTCTGAAAGAAAACAACAGCGCTCACAGTTTAATCACGTGACATGGGCGAAATCAACCTGAACACACAGGAAAGGTTTGATAGAATCAATTTCATACACTGTAACTTTGAATACATGCTTTTGTTGTCATACATTACTGTAGTCCCTGAACTTTTGAATCGTACTACGTAATATTATAAAGAGGTAAAGTTTGTAAGTTTGGATGTAGAAGGTAAATCTCCAAAACTACTCATCCGATTTCAAAAATTCTTCCACCAATATTTAGAATGGAACTTTAGGGTGGACATAGGCTGTATATTATTCCGTTAAACATTCATATAAATTAAAAGATATCATCTAGGATTAAGGCTTTCATGACTAACAGATGGCACTAACTCTGCAAGTACGACGACCTAAGTTTGCTTTTCTGTGAGGATGAACTAAAGCAGATCACCTTCTATCTGTCTATATAAATAATGTAATGTTTGTATGTTCCTTCCGATTCCTCTGAAATTTTGACACAACATTGCATTTGAATATGCACGTGTTTTTATATAATATAAGTGTTGAAATTCCTTCCACTAGGGGAGATGAACAGGATTAAGGCTTACCATGAAGAACTCTGCTTCTATTTATACTATTTTAGATGCAGATTTTTGTGTTTTGATAGGGTACATCAAGAGAGTGTACACTAACAAGGGATTTTTCGAAATTCCCCCACAAGGGAAGTGTTATACATTTATAAGAGATACATTTTGAGCGATGTGGTGGGATCTGCTAGTTTATTATAATATAGAAATCCATCAGTTTATAAAGTAAGAAATTGACAGATAAGCTACCTTTTCTCAACAATAATGACCTGAAGTACATTTGAAGCTTTGGATGTGTTTGCATATCAGCACATCTCGGGTATGTTTTGTCCTTTGGTTGAAGCATTTACCTCCTCTCCTTTCTTTCATTGGATATCCCTTAGTAAAATAGAATGCAGCAAGACATTGAACTCATTTAGGGTCAATTCAAAGAATTTGCAAAATGTAGCACAATACACTTTTATGTTATCCTCATGACGTGTTTGAACAAAATATGTTACTGAAAAATTTTGTTGCTAGTTATCCTTTCCTCTTTTTCTTGCAGCATTTGTAATAAAATTATTTTGTTCAACTTTGTTCTTAATATCATAAAACAATGTATGGAATCTTATATAATCTGAATGTTGCAATTTCATTGTCTGACATCACCTATCATTATGTTCACGGAAAAGTGTTGGTCGATCATCATCACTTGCACAACTTTGGACATTTTGTTTATTTTTCTGCCATTCCGACGGCATACGCAACTGCTTTCTAGCATATCAACTAAATATTTTTCAAACTTCTTCAGAAAATGTGGCCATTATTAAAAGAAAAATTAAGAAAATAATCAAATACAATAGCAGTTGGACTTCAGAGAGCAGTCATTACTGTGAAATAGTGATGGGACCAAAATATATTTTGTAATTGGCTGTATGGAAATGCAAAAGTTTGGAAATAAATACAAAACAAAAAAGTTTCATTGGAAACAAAACCAATTTTTTGTCATTTTTTTTCAAAAGAAGAAATATCCATTTCGGAAAAAAAAAGATTGTAATATGATAGAGAAGCATATTATCAATGTGTTGGTATCATGAACTAAAATAAAAATGGAGATATGTCACTTTGGAAATAAACTCTTCAATTTCACTCAAAAATTGTCATATGATAGTTTTTCTCTTCTGTTCAATCAAAGTTTGTTTTAAAACATTTTTTTTTTTTAGTTTATCTCCAATCATATTATGGAAAATTACATACATAATTAAAAATTTTATTATGTCATAAATGTGACATACATATCAACAAAATATGTTCTGAATTAGACTATTGTCATATTGTGCATAGAATGTTTTGTTTTTTTAAAAAAAGCTGCTCAAATAACATTTGAATTATGGAAAAGTAGAGCAAGCGAACAAAAATTTCTGAAAATGATTGAAAACATTTGTGTGATTGTTTTTTACATTAAATCTAGCTACTGGAAACAATATGGAAGTGTCTTTAACTAAATAAAAGTCCCAAAAGTAAAAGATAATGTTTGGACTCAACTCCTTACAACTATAGAGATGGAATTGCTCTTTGTGGTATGGAAATATGCTTTGATGGATAAATTTGGCATAGATAAGATTGTTTATTTTATTTTTATTTTTACTTTTTTCATTTGGGTTATTATTATTTATGCATGCTTGTTATGCAAGCAGAAATCTTGTTTTCATTTTTGAGAGGTTTGAGTGCTTTTGTCTGTGTGCTACTGTCTGCAATTTGATTTCTTGAGGATGGTCTATCAATTAGGCTGAAAATGCTAGGAATTTTGAATAAAGTACTATTGTTCAGAAGTTGAAATGTGAATTGTTTAGATGTTGAATTGTGTATTAACAGAATGATCTGCAAAATTTATTGATAGCAAGAAGAGATCTGCATATAGGAAAAAGTTGGGAACATTAGTTTACAAAAGAAAAACAAGGCAAAAGAAGCCCTGGTTAATATCTATTTTAAAACAGTGACGTTTTTTATGCCTTAAAGATTAAATATTCAATACAAAATTGTTTTATACAGTGTTTTGAATGTGTCAAAAATTATTATACAGAACTTTATTTTTGTAAACTTAAGATTATATTGCAGATTTTAAAATGTGTTATCACCTAGTTTGTTACATTAATTTCTTACTTGATTAAACTAAAACTATGTCAGCATACTCTGTACTATTTGATTTTTTTATGTTAGATATTATGATATGATTTAATTAGTGGTTGAAAATTTGAAAATGCAGTCTAAATTAGATGTTTTCATTAGGCAGTCTGAAGAAATGGAAAATGCAGTACAAAAAGTGGGCATTGTTTATACAGATCGTGACATTAATGAATTAGCAACACAACATTTTGAAGAAAATCAGGTTTGATTTAATAAGAATTAAAACTAATTTTTGAATTATTTATTTTATATTAAAATACAATGGAACCAGGTTAACTTGAATCAGTCAGGAGGGAAAATTTTGGAGTTTCAAGTTAGAAGTTTGAGTAAAAAGCAAGGTTTTGTGTACAAAAATATTATGTGGATAGTTTATTATGGTCAGTGACCATAATAAACTATCCACACAATATTTTTGTGGGAATTATTATGTCAAAACATTGTCAATGTAAACTCTTGTTGTCCAGAAACTCAAACACCAAATGGTTTAGCAACCTGCTGAGAGATGCATTCCTGAGTGGTTGATCCATTTACTTCTGTTTAGTAAGAATATTTTTAAATTGTTATATTTTGTGCCTAGAATTGATCTGTTCATTTATTTTTTATTGCAAACATACTTTTTACAAACTCAACTCTTCAAGACTGTTATATTTTTAAAACTTTTACATAGAATTGGACCATAATTGTTATTTTTTTTTAATTAATTTATCAAAAATTCATATATTGATATTTATTCTGTTGGCTAGTCAGAGATCATCATCAGTAATCAAATAAAGCAAAAAAAAAAAAAAAGAAAAGAGTTTGAAAAAAGCAGGTTTGAATGGCATTTACATTATCTAGGTCACATGCTGTCTGGAAGCTTCCACTCCACCTACTGTCACATAGCACAATATTTATTTTTAGTTGTACATGGTTTCTGCACTTTCTAGGAAGTTTCTGATTAGTTTATTAGATAGATAAATGTAAATGATTTTATTTGATGGAGAATTAAAATTTCAGAGTTAATGAAAATACTATCAAAACTCCATTTGAATTAAACAGTTCAGCAAATTCAAGTTATCCAGTTTGATTTAATATGTTGGATAATTAGGGAAAGAAATTGACTGAGTTATTCTTGTTTAAGTTAACCAGGTTCTATTGTAATAAATTTAATATAAACTATACCCGGGGTTTATACTCTGGATATAATTTGTGTATATAATTAATGATAACTACTCAATATTCAAAACAATCTTATACAGGTTTAATGAATTTATATCTGGACAAGATTGTTTCTAATATTGAGAAGTTTAACATTAAAGTGTTAAACTTACATATAAAGAATTCTTTCACTGGATATGTGGCAATATTCAGCTTACAGAATGATGGCATTGATGCAAGGATAGATTGTTTTGGAATAACATCAATGCTAGTAAAGTGGCTACATGACAACCAGATAACTTTATTAAAGGCTGACAAGAATAGAGCATTACTGTTAATGAGAACTTCTTACATTAGACTTCTGGACAATTATGTTGCAAGTGTACAGTGTGAACTGGCAGATGAGGATTTCTGTAGCCATACTTGGACCAGTGTTACTTTCACCACTGGTTGCCTAAGGACACTGTGACATATTTTTCTAATGTGAGAGTCTGCCTAACTCGTGAGCATGGAACTTTTGAACCTGGGCGACATCCAAGCTGGCATTACACTTGGATTGTGTTATCATCATGGTTAGATCACTATTTCTTCCCACAGACCTCATTGACATGGGTGACCCTACCAGGAGCATATGCTGCAACTAGCATAGCTCTGTAGTTTGTCAGATTTTCTAAGCTCTCTCACCATTGCAAGGTGGTGACTAATGAGATAGTTATTATTATTATGTTGCAAATGTCATGCTCAGCTGATGCTGGTGCCAAGTGCTATGCTGGACTAAAGTCAAGGCATAACTACCCAAATAAGTGCAACACTAAGCTGTGTTGTTGGTGTATGTGTCAATGACTTGTGTTTTCAATTTATTTACTTTCATTGTAACATTTTTCTGTTCAATAAAGTCCTGGTGCAGCTGGTGACCTCCCCTTCCCCTTCTCACTTCTCTTTCACATTTTCATCCCCTTTGGCCTCTGCTGCAAATAGCTTTTCCTTTCGTCTAACACCTTCTCACTTCTTTTCATTCCCTTTAAAGGAAATACCATTGAGTAATGCCTTCTAAACTTCTATATGTAATGTAATGTATGTGTCAATGTCTAGAAACTTCCTAAGGATGTGACATGTTCAATATTGTGGCTTTCTGTAGTGTCACATATATGTTTTTATTAAGGCTTAACATTTCTATACTTTCATATAGTGTATGTGGTATGATTTCAGTGGAAGAGAGACAATAAATACAAAATAATATTGTAAGGAACCAAGTCCGAGCATTATTTTTAGTTACTTTTTATTTTGCTTATTCTATTTTTGTTTGGGGCTTATGTTTTGTTGGGACGAAGGTTTCCTCACCATTCACCTTAGAAACTTAAAAATAGAAGAGAAACCAACTTGCCGACGAAAGAAAAGCGCTGTAGAAAAAACTCACACACACTTGCGCTCCCGAGCAGAAAAAAGTAAGTTAGCACTGAGAAAAGGGGGAGACCCCACAAGCACAACTTAGAAACTTGTTAAACCTTAAAAGAATAAAACATCCTGAAAATTGTCAAAAAGAATAATGTAAAAGGTTAGCGAGTATTGTCGGAAAATAGGCTGCCAGACAAACAGAAAAAAGTTTGTTAGCAAATAAGTATGTAAATGAGGGGAGTGATCGCACTCAGAATTGTGACGTCACCTCATAGTATAAAGACCGAACCTCAAGTGAAGACGGACGAGGTGAGCTTCTGTTAGCAACGAGCTTGGTGAGCTTCGTAGCAGTGAACAAGAGAGGTGTCCGATAGGATCAAATAGTTCCAAGGTGATTTTGAAGTTATTCGATTTGTGGATCGACGATTAGAGAAAGTCTTGAGAGTTGAGGAAAAAGGTTCCTAGTATATTGAGGTGACGATTAGGACCTTTAATTCATAAGAATTATTGTTTATAAGTTAAGTCTTTGAATTTTGTCGAATTCCAAAGTGGAATAGAATTAAGTTAGAAAATAGATCGATTTGAGTTTTGTCAGGTTGATTCTCATTGATTTTCATTGAATAAATTGTTATTTGATTTTTACTAAATTTTGTATATAGTTTATTAATAGAACTTTATTAAATATTATTGAATTGTTTATTGACTAACTTTGTCATTGTTTAATTCGGTGCACGCTTAAAGTCCAGGCCTGGCACATTAACGCGAATCCGTGTAAAGTACCCGTTAGGTAACGACTATTTCCGGCACACAGTTGTGTCAATAATTGTTGTAGAGGGCAGAAAAATAATATAGTACTTTACAACATCCTATCCATCCTCCACAATTGCCTTATTTCTTGGATGACCAAATTATACTTATTGAATTCTTCATTGTGAGCATTTTTCATGTTATGAATTTGTAATGGAGACATCTATTATATAAGCATTCTTATTGCATTTGTCAATGACGATGATGTCAGGTTTATTGTGATGAATTGTTTTATATGTGATTATTGTTCTGTCATAGTATATTTTGTGTTGTTTTCTAATACTGCCTGTAGAGTATATTCATAATATGGTACTGGATGTTTATTAATCTGTGTTTGTGTGCAAGCTCTTCGTGTATTATATTTGCTACTTCATTATGAGTATGTAAATATTTGTTTGTGCTAAGAGCTTGTAATCAGAGGCTATATGTTGTATTGTTTCAAGCAGAATGTGGCATTTTCTGCAAGAGTTATTTGTGAGTCATGCATCCTTCAGAATGTGTTTTCTGTAGGTTTGTGTTTATGACCTGATGTTGAATGACAACCATATAACCCTTAGTCTCTTCAAACAGGCAGCCCTTAGTCAGCCAGTAGTTTGATACAGTTTCGTCAACTTAATCCTGAGCTAGGTCATAGACATTCCTACTATGAAGTGCCTTTGGGCCCAAGCCTTACTTAGCAAAATGGAGTGGAAATACTAGGACTCGTCAAAGGTATTTCCTAGTATGATGGAAGAGAATAGATGAAGTTGGGAGAGTAAGTAGTAGAAAGGAAAAAGTGAAAGGAAGGTTAGTGAAGAGGGAGAGTCTGTTGGCACCTTCATTGCATTTATTTTATGAACAAAATGCAGTACAGTATCCAAGTTACAGATATTGAGACAATACAGAATTTTTTTTCATTCAAATGTATAGATTTACATAGTATAATAGTACAAATATTAAAGAGCAACACTTTGTATTGTCATCATCCTGTGACCTCTAAGCCTAGGTCCAACAGAAGAGATGACAGTGGAGGACATTGGTTAATAATCTAGGGGCCTGATGCTGACAGAGTTGCAAAATTACTAACACGATACACTGTTTACTGGAACAAAAACAATACAAGAATGCTATTACAGAAACAAAACTACATAACATGTAGAATACCAGATAGGTGTGAAAGTCTTAGTCACTGATCTGTGGTTCTAGTGCATTAGTGGTGCAAATGAAGGTCATGAGTTCTTGAAAAACAACTTGGTTCCTCATCAAAACATTCATTGTGCATTGCCAGTTGTATCCCTGAAGAATGATAGCCCTTTTGAGCTTATCATGCTGTTGTGGTGTTTACAATGGAAAATTAGATGCTGAGTGGTTTGGATTGATGTTCCATCACAGTCAGTTGGGGCTATCATGGTGCTAAAGTGGTGTTAATACCTTCTTTTGATCTATATTCTCTGATATGTTGGGATGACTCTTTCATTTGAGAAGTCTGTCGGAGGCCATCAAACTTGGCTGCATGTGTGAAATCCGCGAATCTGACACAGTTGTCAGAAAAAAATATAAACAACTCCGATAGAAAAAAATATTCCTAGTGAGAATTAGATCGGAGGTCACTGTTTGTGATAACAATTAGATGGAAAAGTTGACACATAGGTGTCAAGAATGAACTGTTATTCTCAATATTTGACAATCATGTCACTAAAAATAAAACAAACACCTTTCTCTATTCCAGCACACTTTTAATGCGTTGAAAAACGTTTTCAATCGTTTTAATCGATCATCATCAGTTCAAAATTCGAACTATATAACGAACAAAGCATTCGAAAAAATACAAAAATTTACATCACTTATTTACAACTTAACGCTAAAGCGCATGCACGTACTTATAAAACGTATAGATTAAACCTAAGTAATTAAAAATAAAAATAACAATATTATATATC